ACTCCAGTCTGGGTGACAGAGTGAGACTCCAACTCAAACAAACAAACAAACAAACAACAAAAAAAAAACCTTACGTGAGCCGATTTGAATTATATTACGCACATCAAACACAATAAAAATGCAAGTTTTACTTCTACTGCCTGGCACAGATGGTTGACAGATGCCAGTCATTCCCCAACCAAACCTGCCTCTCCTGGGGTTCCCCATTTAACGATGCCAGTGTCTCCCAGCTGCTCAGGCTAGAAACTCCGGGTCCCCCTCTTCCCAGTAGTCTATACTTGCTTGTATTTCTTGTGTTGGTGTGTATTACATTGCCCTCTTACTTTTTACATGTCTGTTGTTCCTAAGTGAAGCTTCATGAGGGTGGTAACTATTGTGTCCAGGGTATCTGATATTCTATAGTGTTTATTCAATAAGTGAGGTTTACTTTTCTTTTTCCAAGGCAACTGATAAAAAAGGACAGGAAAGTTGTTATACAGCTGCAAAATTTGTCATAGCAACAGGTGAAAGGCCACGGTATTTAGGAATCCAAGGAGATAAAGAATACTGTATTACCAGGTAAGATTAAATAGACCATTTTAACTTTAATAAATTGCATTCTGCTTATGTTTCCAATTTATTTATTCCTTGTCTTATTCCACAAAAGATTGAAATTGACAAATAAAAGTACATGCAAAACAAGAAACAAAATAAAGTAATGAAACAAAAAGAAAATAAGGCCAGTGTTAAAATTTATGCACACAAATATGCTATATGTGTCGAGGTAATTGCTGAAAGTAGTATGAGAATTTGGTTCTAAACTTCCTACAGGCTAAAGCAAGAAGTAAATGCAATTAGCTTTAGTGTTTAGTATCTGAATGAAAAAAGTGAGCCAGTGGTCAGGAGGAGCACATCTCTTGTTAATAGTGAAATTTAATAGGAATTTTTCTTTGGTGTTCAAACAGAGGGCATTGTATAATGTGTCCCAATGACTAGCAAACTTTTTTGAGATTCACATTAAGAAAGACATTTTTCAGGCTGGGTATGGTGGCTTGTGCCTGCAATCCTGGCTCTTTGGGATGATGAGGTGGGAAAATTGCTTGAGATCAGAAGTTTGAGGCCAGCCTGGGCAACATAGTAAGATCCTATCTCTACAAAAAAAAAAAAAAAAAATTAACCAGGCATGGTGTCATGCAAATGGAGCCCTAGCTACTTGGGAGGCTGAGGCAGGAGGATTGCTTGAGCTCAGGATTTTGAGGCTGCAGTGAGCTGTGATCATTTGATTGCATGCCATTCTGACCAAGCGAGATCCTGTCTCTAAAAAATAAAATCTTAAACTGAGAAACACATTTTTCACTATACTGTTGTTCAGGTGGACAACCACCCCAGCACACACACCACACACCTCCAAAACAAATTATTTTTTACTTATCACATATAATTTAGTCTAGCATTTTCTATTTTTTCTTAAAGAAAACTTTGCTTGTGATCTGATTTTAAAAAACAGAGGCATGCTTTCTCTTCTACACTCTCTCCACAGTAAACTCAATTGCAAGCTTTAAAAGGCTGTTTGTTTTAGTATTCCTTCATTCAAGTTGCAAATTGCAGTTGAACCCTCAGAAGACCATTATATGAGAGGGGACCCACAAATCCCAGAGTTATTTTTTGGAGGGCAGGCCCATTGTAGTACAGGCTCCTCTCACTAGATAAATGTTCTAGGAACCCATGTGTACCAGTGTACCAGCTCGCATCATTATGAGAGGCTGCATTTGACTCCAGTGAATTCTTTTGGAGATTCTTTCAACTCGTTTGCCCATTTCATGATGAGTCATTTATTAGTGCACCTGCCCACACCGCACTGAGTGTTCTGCAGTTTTTGACCAACAATGACATGGCCCAAGTGTCCCACTCTCCCTATTCACCCGATCTTACCCTGAGCCACTTATTTTTGTTTCCCCCGATGAAAAAAGTCCTGAAAGGGAAATGTTTTCCCAATGTGAAAAAGGTGAAGCAAAAGCACTTAAAAGGCATGAAAATCGACTAGTTCAGAAACTGTTTTGAGCAGTGGAAAAAGCATCTTGATAGGTGTATTGCATCAAATGGAGAGTTCTTTGAAGGTGACTCAAATTTAAACATGTAAGAATACACAATTTTGGGGTAACCCTTTCGGGTCCCCTCCTACTGTGGGAACTTTTCTGTCCTCTCAATAAATCCTGATTTTTTTAAAAAAAGAGAATGCGTAATTTTTTAATAAATAAATTCTGGATTTTTTTTGCCACCCCCTCACCCCCAACATTGAAACCTAAATAACTCATTTTATTCTCATTGCCTAGGTTTCTTTTTGTAATTTTTATTTTTCAGTGATGACCTTTTCTCTCTGCCTTATTGCCCTGGCAAAACGTTGGTGGTGGGTGCCTCCTACATTGCCCTGGAATGTGCAGGGTTTCTGGCTGGCCTTGGCTTGGATGTCACAGTTATGGTGCGCTCAATCCTTCTTCGTGGCTTCGACCAAGAGATGGCAGAAAAAGTGGGTTCCTACATGGAGCAACACGGTGTGAAGTTCTTAAGGAAATTCGTCCCTGTGATGGTACGTCTGAGTAACATTTGGAATTCCTTTTCTTTCTTACTCGCTTTTCAACTTTCTTTTATGTCACTTTACTTCATTTTATTAAGTAGCTCAGTCTTACTCAAATAGTGTTAAAAATAGTATTTCCACCCCCAAATATACAAAACCAACCCTATTGTCCCCTTGTCCTCCCCTGTGATGATGGAGAAGGTGTCCTGCTCTTCTCAGCAGGGCCATCTCTCACTTTTTTTCACTTCCTCAAGGGTGTCCTGTCTTCAGTTAGATATTGTCTTTCCCTTATTCTTATCAGCATCTTTCATCTTGAAATACCCTCCCTGACTTTCTGGTTGGGTCCCTATTTTTCTTTTCCCCTTTATAAAAATACTTCTATACATCTACTTCTGATTTCTTGTCTCTGTTTCCCATGTAGCCAATTTTCAGCTGCTTCCGTTTGAATGTCTCACTGGGTCTCTCAGCAGCACATGGTAAAATGGACCTTCCTTCCTTGGGCAGCACCCTCCTTTCTGGCTGCTGTGCCTCCACAGTCATGATTTTCCCGTCCGTACCTACTCAGCCTGCAGACATCAGCATCCTTTAGTTTTCTTCCTGGCCACTCTTCACTCCTCTGCAGTTTTTACCTGATGATCTTCCTTAAGACCATGGTTTTAAGTATTATCTAAGTGCTAATGATGCACAGATATATGTCTCCTGTTCAGGCATCTCTCCTGACCTCCATGCTCGTCACACAGTTGCCTACTGGATATCACCACTTGAATCCCTCATGAGCATTTCAGACTTCACAAGGCAAAAATGAAACTCTCCGTTTTCTACCTAATGTATTCCCCTGCTAATCCATCTGGCCCATCTCAGTACTCAGTAAATGGTATCACACTCTACACAGATTATTAAGCCAGTATCTGAGAGCATCCTTTCATTTCTTTTCTTTTTCTTTTTCTTTTCTTTTTTTTTGGAGGGGGGGTTGGAGTCTTACTCTGTCACCCAGGCTGGAGTGCAGTGGCTCGCTCATGTCCACTGCAACCTCAATCTCTTGGGCTCAGGTGATCCTTTCACCTCAGCCTTCCAAGTAGCTGGAACCACAGGTGTATACCACCATGCCCTGCTAATTTTTTGATTTATTGTAGTCAAGATCTCGCTAAGTTGCTCAGGCTGGTCTTAAACCCATGCACCCAGGCAATTCTCTCACCCCTGCCTCTCAAAGTGCTGGGATTACAGGCGTGAGCCACTGCACACGGCCTTCATTTCTTCTTTTATGCACCTTCCAGTCTCAACCAATCCATTAATTCATTTCTACCTCCAAAATGTATCTTGTGACAATTACTTTTCTCTATCTCTGCCTAATCCAAAAATCTTAAATATGCCCAACACACATGTATATATCAGCATGACTATATATGCACACAGGTGTGCACCCTTTGATCTATTTGTGTTATGTATAGATAGAATCATTACGTTATTTGACCTTACTAGATTCAACAGTTGGAGAAAGGCTTACCTGGAAAGCTGAAAGTATTGGCTAAATCCACTGAAGGACCAGAGGCTGTTGAAGAAGTATATAACACAGTAAGTTTTATTTTGTCAACACTGTCTTGTTTTTAATATCAAAAGGAAAGATGTCATTATTTCATTAAAGAAAATGTTTTCTTAGGATTTTGATAGATATTTTCAATAAAGTTAAGGAAATTATTTTCTATTTTTTGATTGCTGAGTGTCTTTCTTTGTTTACTTTGTTAATTTTAAAATCATGAATGGATGTTCAGTTGCAATAATGTTTCTTTCGTAGCTGTTGATGATCTGTTTTTTTTTTTCCTGTTGATCTGTTTTGTGTTGAATGATGCTGACTTTATTTTTATTTATATACATATATTTAATTTTTTTTTTTTTTAGAGATGGAGTCTTGCTGTGTTGCCCAGGCTAATGTGTTGAATGATGCTGACTTTATTTTTGTTTATATACATATATTTAAATATTTACTTTTTACCTTTTTTAGAGATGGAGTCTTGCTGTGTTGCCCAGGCTGATCTCAAACTCCTGGCCTCAAGCAATCCTCCTGCTTTGGCTTCCTAAAGTACTGGAATTGCAGACAAATTACATTGATTTTCTAATGTTTATTCAATTTTTGTAATTCTTCATATAAACCCAACTCGGTAATGTTGGTCTTTTAAGTTTTTTCTGTTTTTTCTTGAGTTACTTTTCAGTAGTTATATTTTTCCAGGAATTAATCCATTTCATCTAAATTTTCAAATGTATTAATACATAGTTGCTCATAAGTATAACTATAAATTGGTTATTTTTGTAATGAGGTAAATTTTACATGTAGGGAAATGCATGGCTCTTAGGTGTACAATCAGTTTAATCAGTTTTGACAAGTGTCCATATTCATGTAATCCATACTCCTTTAAAGGTAACAGAACATTTCCGTGAGTTCAGAAAGTTCTCTTGTGCCCTCTCCCAGTCCCTGTCCCCAACAAATACTATTCTGATTCTGTCACCTTAAGCTAGTTTTCTAACTTATTCTAGACATCACATAAAAGAAGTCATACACTGTGTACTCCTTTGCATCTGGCTTTTTAAATTCAGATTGATGCTTTTAGAATTCATCCATGTTGTGTGCATCAGTAGTTCTTTTTATTGCATGGACTGTGTGAATATAGCAGTTTATTTATTCATTTTCCTGTGAGTGAACATGTAGGCATTTTGCAATTTGGGCTATTGTGATTAAAACTGCTATGACAACTTTTTGTTTAAAGTATTTTTTATGGACATTTATTTTTTCTTGGATAAATACCTAGGAGTGAAATTGCTTGATCATAGAGTAGTTTCTACTTTTTAAGAAACGACGAGCTTCCAAATGATCGCATCATTTTGTATTTCCACCAGCCATGCCTGAGGGTTTGGTTATTCCAGATCCTCACCAATATTTAGGGTTGTCCAGTTTTCTCTCTCTAGCCCTTCCAGTAGATGTGCAGAGGTATCTTATTAGGGTTCTAATGTACATTTTCCTGATGACTGATGATGTGGAGCAATATTTCATGTGTATGTTGGCATTCATATATCTTAATGTATAAAGTGTCTGTTCAAGTCTTTAGCTGTTTTTGTTTGATTGCTTGAATTTTTATTCTTGAATTGCAGGAGTTTTATATATATCTTGGGTATATTCCTTTTTCAGATATATGTATTGTGAACATTTTCTTTCCATCTGTGACTTGCCTATGTATTTTTTAGTAGCATCTCTTGATGAATAGTACTTTAAAAATTTTTATGAAGTCTGGTTTATCCATTTTTTTCTTTTATGGTTTGTGCTGTCTGTGTGCTCTAAGAAATCCTGGTTTATGCAAAGGTCATGAAGACATCCCTATATTTTCTTCCTGAAGTTTTATAGTTTTATCTTTCATGTTTAGGTCTGTAATCCACATTTAATTAAATTTTTTTTAGTAGACAAATTTTTTCCATTTTAATTAAGTTTTAAACTGCTTTTGTTTTTGGCGACTTTTAAAAAGAAAATCAATTTAAGTCCACTTTAGTGTTCATTGATTTCTCTTTACGAAAATTGTATGATGCTGACAGGTCATACTGAAGCTTTGCAATATCTATCTTGATTTTCTATTCTGCAGCTTTCTTTTGAACATGTTCTTCTGTTGAGGATTTGTGTAAAGAATATAGTATTATTCTTGTCATTTCCAAAGCAACCTTAGAAAATCTATATCTGACCCTTTATTATTTTTAGTCCCAAAGGAGGCTTCACAATTGAGTCCAAGTCAAATGACTTGAACACTCTTTTTAGATAATGAGCACACATCACTTTGAACCATGTCAACATGCGTTAACTGAGACTCTTCCAGATTCCTATTAAATATTTCCAGTGCACCTTCATTTATGTCAAATTCAACATACGACCCTGCTTTTTTCTTTTTTTTTTTTAGTTGGAGTCTCACTCTGTCGCCCATACTGGAGTGTAGTGGCTGCTCCCAGCCACTGCAGCCTCAACCTGCTGGGGCTCCGGCAATCCTTCCACCTCAGCCTTCTTAGTAGCTGGAACTACAAGCGTGCACTACCATGCCTGGCTAATTTTTTATTTATTGTAGAGATGAGGTCTCGCCAAGTTGCCCAGGCGGGTCTCGAACCCGCCGGCTCAGGCAATCCACTCACCTCAGCCTCCAAAGGCGCGGGATTACAGGCTGAGCCACCGAGCCCAGCTGACCCTGCTCTTAACATTGCACTTCTGAGGCTTAGCACTCCATAGCCACATCTAGGTCTGCAACCATTCATTTTCCACGTCATCACATATGTTGTGGATTGTATAGAGCATATGTACTGCAGTGTCTGACTGGTCAGATACTGTTCTAGAGGTAGTTTGGACTTTCTGAGTCTATCCACTTGTTGCAGGCAACTCTCTGGTTCCTTAAACCTTGCTTTTCTTTTTTAAAGTATGGTTTTGCAGCGTTTAATGACATAGGCTCTTAGGCGGTAAGGAACATCTTGTCTGGAAGCCTGGATTAGTTTTTATGCATAAATGGTGTGATGTAGGAATTGAGATTCTTTTCCTTCTGTGTGGATAACCGGTGCCATTTGTTGAAAGGTTTCTCTTTCTCCATGGAATTACTTCGATGAAATTATTTGAATGTTCAACTGTAGGTCTATTTCTGCATTCATATTCTGTTTCATAGACCATTTATCTTGCCCTTCCCGGGACCACATTGTCTTGATGGTTGAAGCTTTGGGATAAGTCCCAGACAGGTAGAGTGATTCCTCTAACTTTAATTCTATATAAATTTTAAAAACAGCTTATCAATTTCCCTAAAAAGAAAGTCTTCTGGGATTTTGGTTGGGATTATATTTACTGTTTCCTGAAGAACTGACTTCTTAGTACTACTGATTTTTTAAATACATGAACCTCAGCTGTCTTTCCATTTATTTATTGTTCCTTACTTTCTCTCACCAGTGTTATATCATTGCTCTTTCACATATTTTGCCAAATGTATCTCTAAGTAGTTCATGATTTTTAAACTAATACAAATGGCATTTTAAAAATTTTAATTTTCGATGGTTTGTTGGTGGTGTATAGAAATACAAATGGTTTGTGTGTGTGTGTGTATTGACCTCGCTATAGCTTCTTAAGATTCATAGCTGCAAGTAAAAGCAGCTTTCTCCTGTGACCTTTTATCTTTTTCTTACCTTGTTGTACCAGCCAAGACCTCCAGTACAGTGTTGTTTAGAAATCGTGAGAGTGGGCATTCTTTGGTTCGTGATCTTAGGGATAAGTCATTTAGTCTCTTATTTTTGAGGCGGAGTCTCACTCTTTCTCCTAGACTGGAGTGCAGTGGCATACTCACGGCCTCTGCAGCCTCGACCTGCTACGCTCAGGTGATCCTTCTGCCTCAGCCAAGTAGCTGGAACCACAGGAATGTGCCACCATGTCTGACTGATTTTTTTATTTATTGTAGAGACGAGGTCTTGCCATGTTGCTCAGGCTGGTCTCAAACCCCTGAGCTCAGGCAATCTTCTTGTCTCTGCCTCCCAAAGTGCTGGGGTTACAGGTGTGAGCCACCATGCCCGGCTAGTCTTTCAACCTTGCTAGGATGTGACTTGTAAGTTTCCTACACTTTTATCCAGTTGAGGAAGTTTTCCTCTTTTATTCTTTGTCATGCTGAGAATTTTAATTTTGAAAGGTTGTTGAATTTTGTCAAATGCTTTATTGCATCTACTGAGATGATTAAATTGTTTTCTACTTTTTTGTGTTAATATGATGAATTATATTGGTTGATTTTTGTATGTTATACCAAATTTGCATTTTGGAGATAAATTCCACTTGGTTATGATCACGTATCCTTTTTATATACTCATATTGCTATATTTGATTTGCTAACATTTCATTAAGGATTTTACATCTATGTTCAAAGGAGTATTAGCTTATGAATTTCTTTTCTTTTAATGTCCTCACCTGATTTTGGTATCAGATATGTATACTGGGCTCATAATGAGGAGTTGAGAAGTGTTCCCTTTTCCTTTTTTTTCTGAGTTGTGTACCTACCATAGCAAAATACCACGGACTGGTAGTGTAATCAACAGAAATTTATTTTCTCACAGTTCTGGGAAAGTACCACAGACTGGGGGTGCTTAACAACAAAAATGTGTGTCTTATGGTTTTGTAAGCTGGAAGTCCAAGATCAAGATGTTGACAGGGTTGGTTTCTCCTTGGCTTGTACCTGGCTGTCTTCTTCCTGTGTCTTCACATGGTCATCCCTTGATCTGTGTTGTCTGTATCTTAATCTTCTCTTATGAGGACGCCAGTTATATTGGATTAGGGCCTACCTATATGCCTCATTTTACCTTAATAACCTCTTTGAAGGCCCTATCTTCAAATATAGTCATATTCTAGGTACTTGGGGTTAGAATTTCAGCATACGAATTTTGAGGGGACATAGTTTAACCCATATCATAAACTTATTCAGACCTTTGCATGTCAGTTTGGTAAATTATTTCTTTCAAGGAACGTATTTTACCTAAGCTATCAAATATATTGGCATAGGCTGTTGATAATGTTCCATTGTTATCCTTTAATGTCTATTAAGGTCTATAGTCATGTTCCGTCTTTCATTCCTGATACAGGTAATTTGTGTTTTTGATTTCTCTCTAAATACAGGTTTTGTTAGCAGTTGGTCGTGACTCCTGTACAAGGAAAATAGGCTTGGAAAACATTGGTGTCAAAATTAATGAGAAGTAAGTATGTGTGGGGTCATTGCACTATTGCTGCACAAAGCCAAATTTTGCTGCAGATCACCTCTTAGAAATTCTCATTTAATTACTAAGATATAAAATTTTAATGCTTTAAATTTATCTTACTATAAGTATTGTGCCAGCTCTTTATTATCAATTTCTTAATCAATTTATCTGTAACCCTTATTTGTGCCTTAAAAATCTCATCCATTTAAAATTATAATTGTGATTTAAAAAATAATTGTGAAAATATATTCACTGTGATTTAGAGTGAATTTTTTATGTCCTTGGTCAGGCAAGGAGAAAAATTCCAAAGCTGGGACTATGGGGAGAGTCTGGAGAAAATCTAGGCATCTAAGACACATGCATGGTTTCACCAGAGATGTTCTCTCTTAGAGCTACAGAAACTCTTATTATTTTAAGTCATTGACCTTATAGATAATTGATAACCCGAGGTGCATGAGTTCTCAGAGGTAGATCGTTCTCTGTGTACTTAGTCTTTTGGAACAGTGGTAATCATCCAGCAGTGTAGTGTCAGTCATAATATATATATTTTTCCTTTTTAAAAATTCATAGGAATGGCAAAATACCTGTAAATGACACAGAACAGACCAATGTGCCATATGTCTATGCTATTGGGGATGTCTTGGAGGGTAAACCAGAGCTTACTCCCGTCGCCATACAGGCAGGCAAGCTGCTAGCTCGGAGGCTTTTTGGGACTTCTTTAGAAAAGGTAAGTTTCTTACTGTTGTTTCTGAGATAATATCTTGATCAAAATCATTATTTTAAAAGTCAGTACAAAAACACTTGTGTGCTCATTTTCCAGGTAAATGGTTTCTCAGAGATATAATTTGCAGTGGACTTACTGCTTACTAGTATTTTTTGAGTATTTCTTTTATTTTTAAATTTTTATTTTATTTATTAATTTAACTTATTTATTTATTTATTTATTTATTTATTTATTTATTTTTTGAGTTGGAGTCTCACTCTGTCACCCAGACTGGAGTGCAGTGGCCGCTCCTGGCCACCGCAGCCTCGACCTGCTGGGCTCCGGCAATCCTTCCGCCTCAGCCTTCCATGTAGCTGGAATTACAGGCGTGCGCTACCACACCCGGCTGATTTTTTGATTTATTGTAGAGATGAGGTCTCGCTGCCCAGGCGGGTCTTGAACTTGCAGGTTCAGGCAATCCACTCACCTCAGCCTCCCAAAGGCATGGGATTATAGGCTGAGCCACCGAGCCCAGCTATTTTTATTTATTTTTAGTCAGAGTGTCACTGTCACCCAGGCTGGAGCTACCAGAGCCTCAACTTGCTGGGCTCGGGTGATCCTTCTGCCTCATCCCCCAAGTTGTTGGAAATAATTTTACCAGGTGTGTGCCTCCATGTCTGGCTAAATTTTTTTGACTTATTGTAGAGACGAGATTTCACCAAGTTGCCAGTCTGGTCTCGAACCCCTGGGCTCAGGCAATCCTCTCACCTCAGCCTCCCAAAGTGCTAGGATTACAGCTGTAAGCCACCGTTCCTGGCCTTTTTTAAAAGAATATTTCTGTGTGCAAGATGTTGTGTTAGGTGCTTTACAAAGGACGGGTCATGGTTCAACCCCAGGGGCTTACCCAGTAGTTGGAGTCATGAGTCAGATAGGCACAGACTAATCAAAAGACAGAGTTTGATTATGTGCCAAAGAGTGCCATAAGACAATTGCTGTAGAAATATGGAAAGAATCATTTAATTCTAATTGAAGGGACAGGAAAAGCTTTCATAAGTGGATGGTTGCACTGTAATAGCTGTAATAGCATAGAAGGAACACTCAGCAGAAGTCAAGGCTCTGACCCTGGCTTCAGTGCCTACTTGGTGTGTACACCTGGTCAGGTAGTTTACTTCTGTGAATAGACTCACAGGAGTTCTCAACTGGGGAAGTACTGCTCTGCTCCATTAGAAGTGAGTGCTGTGGGTGTGTGGAGGAGTTGATAAGACAAGGGCAACTGGGGACGGGGATCCACTGGCATTAGTGGGTAGGCTCAGGAGTGTTTAATGTACTATTCCATGTATAGAATTGTCCCATCCACAGTGCATACAGCACTTGGGGTGTATGTAGGCAGAGTAGTTGGTGGTAGGGGAGTATATAATTGGGAATGAGGCTGGAGAATTAATTTGATTTTCAGATCATCAAAAATCATTAATGCTGTAATAAAGAATTGATAAGGCCTTCTCTAAGGCAGTTGGGATCTGTTGAAGACCTTTATTTCCCCCAACTTTTTATTTAAAAAGATGTCACAACACAAAAAGAATAGTAAAATAATCTCCCATAGTAAACCTTTCACCCAAATTCCCCAGTTACTAACATTTTGTCACTAACATTTTATCATTTTTGCTCTTTCTCTCCTTTTGTGAATATCTAGATGTCCTTTTTTTCTGAGGTTTTTGAAGTGGCAGACATCAGTGACATTTGCCCTTAACTACTTCAGTATATATCTCCTAAGTACAAAGATATTTACCTCCATGACTATAGCTCCATTACCGTATCTGAGAAGTTCAATAAAAATTCAATAAAAATGCAGATTTCCTCAGTTGTTCTTTAAGTGTGTGTGTATGTGTATATTTTGATTTACACAGTATATTTAGCTCTTATAACTTTTTTTAAACAAACAGTATTTTATTCTTAAAAAAGCACATAAAAAATAAGTATACAAAAATCACCCAGAAGAAAATAAAGAAAACACCAAAATATTAGTAGTGTTTAAATTTGAATGATAGAATTATAGATATGCCACATGAAAAATCACAGATTTATAAATTCAGTAGAAGACTTTATTTTTGTTTTAGAATCAGGGAGTACAGGCACATGTTTGTCACATGGACATGCTGTGTAGTGGTGGGGATTGGGTCTCAGATGGCCAGTTCCCAAGATAGTGAACATTGTACCCAATAGGTGATTTCTGAACCCTAACCAACTTCCCTACCTCTCCCCTTATTGGTGTTCTCAGTGTCTATTATTTCCATCTTTGTGGCCATTTAGCTCCTGCATGTGAATAAAAACATGATACCTGGTTTTCTGTTTCTGAGTGAGTTCACTTAGAATTATGTCTCCAGCTCCATCCATGTTGCTGCATAGGACATGATTTCATTCTTTTTTATGGCTATGTAGTATCAATGGTGTATATATACCACATTTTCTTTATCTGGTCAAATCATTCGTATAAGCACTTAGGTTGGGTCCATGATTTTGCTGTTGTGAGTAGTGCTGCAATGAACATATGAGTACAGGTATTTTTCTTAGATAATGATTTCTTTTCCTTTGGGTAGATCCCTAGTAGTGGCATTGCTGGGTTGAACAGTATTTCAATTTTTAGTTTTTTGAGAAATCTCCATGCTGTTTTCCATAGAGGTTGAATGGGTTTTCAATCTTATCAGCAGTGAATGAGTGTTCCCTTTTCTCTACAACTGCACCAACATTTGTTCTTCTTTGACTTTTTAATGATGCCCATTCTGACTGGTGTAAGGCGATATTTCATTGTGGTTTTAATTTGCGTTTATTTGATGATCAGTGATGTTGAGCATTTTTTCATATATTTGTTGATCACTTGTGTCTTCTTTTGAGAAGGGTCTGTTCATGTCCTTTGCCCACTTTTTGATGGGGTTTTTTTCATGTTGAATTATTTGAGTTCCTTGTGAATTCTGGATAGTTCTTTGGGCCATAACTTGCAAGTATTCTTTTTTTTTCTCATCCTATAGGTTTTCTATTCACTCTGATGATTATTTCTTTTGCTGTGGCTCTTTTAACTTTTATTTTAAGTCTTTTTAAATCTGGTACATTTTTAGTTGACATGCAATGATTATACATGATATTTTGATACATGTTTACAATGTGCATGATGAAATCAGGGTAATTAGCATATACATTACCTCAAATGTTTATGATTTCTTTGTGTTGGGAACCTTCAAAATCTCTTCTAGCTTTTTAAAAATATGCAATAAGCTATCATTAACTGTGTTCACACCTGAGTGCTATAGAGCATTAGAACTGACTTCTCCTATCTAGCTGTAATTTTACATACATTAACCAACCCCATCCTCCCTCTTGCCCTGCCCTTCCCAGCCTCTTATGGCCACAACTCTACTTTCTACTTTTATGAGATTCACTTTTTTAGCTTCCACATATGAATGAGAACATGTGGTATTTATCTTTCTGTGACTAGCTTATTTTACTTAACATAATTCAGTTTAATCCATTGTTATGGCAAATGAAAGGATTTTGTTCTTTTTATTGGCTGAATAATATTCCATTGTGTATATATACAACGTTTTCTTTATCCATTCATCTGTTACAGACACTTAGGTTGATCCCATATTTTGGTTATTGTGAATAGTACTGCAGTAAACATGGGGGTGTAGATATCTCTTTGATATACTGATTTTCTTTCTTTTGGATAAGTATCCAGTCATAGAATTGCTGGATTATATGATAATTCTATTTGTAGGTTTTTGAGGAACCTTCATACTTTTCTCCATAGTGGCTGTACTAGTTTACATTCCTACCAGCAGTGTATGGAAGCTCCCCTTTCTCTGCTTCCTTGCCAGCATTTGTTATTTTTGTCTTTTGATAATAGCTGCTGGTGTGAGATGGTATCTCATTGTGGTTTTGATTTGCATTTCTCTGATGATTAGTGATATTGAGCATTTTAAAAATATACTTGTTGACCTTTTGTATGTCTTCTTTTGAGAACTGTATATTCAGATCCTTTGCCCACTTTTAAAATCATGTTGTTCTTTTTTTGCTGTGAGTTGAGTTCCTTATATATTTTGTCAGATGAATAGTTTGCAAATATTTTCCCCTATTCTACAAGTTGTCTCTTTACTCTGTTAACTGTTTACTTTGCTGTGTAAAAGCTTTTTAGTTTGATATAGTCCCATTTATCTATTTTTTAAAAGATGGAGTCTCACACTATTGTCCAGCTGGTCAGGAACTCATGGGCTTAAGCAGTCCTCCAAACTCGGCCTCCCAAGTAACTGGGACTACAGGTATATACCTTCATGCCTGGCTCTGCTTTTGTTTTTGTCCCCTGTGCTTTTTAGGTCTTACCGTAAAATCTTTGCCTAGACCAGTGTGTCCTGAAGCGTTTTCTCTGTTTTCTTCTAGCTGTTTCATGTCTTACATTTAAGTCTTTAATTAATTTGAAGTTGATTTTTATCTATGATGAGATATAGAGATCTAATTTCATTCTTCTGTATATGGATATCCAGTTTTTCCAGTGCCATTTTTTGAAGAGGGTGTCCTTTTCCCTTTGTATGTTCTTGGTACCTTTGTTGAAAATCAGTTTTTAGATGCTCTTTTGGATTTTATTGATCTGTGTGTCTGTTTTCATACCAGTATCATGCTGTTTTGGGTACTATAGCTTTGTAGTATGTTTTGAAGTCAGATAGTGTGATGCCTCCAGCTTTGTCTTTTTGCTCAGTATTGCTTTGTCTATTTGGGATCTTTTGTGATTTCATACAAATTTTAGTTTTGTTTTTACCATTTCTGTGAAGAATATCATTGGTATTTCGATAGGGATTGCATTAAATCTATAGATTATTTTGGGTAGTATTGTCATTTTAACAATATGCTTTCAATCCATGAACACTGGGATGTCTTTACATATTTTTGTGTCCTCTTCAATTTCTTTCACCGGTGTTTTGGAGTTTTTATTGTAGAGAGCTTTTACCTCTTTGGTTACATTATTCCTAAGTTTTTTTTTTTGTAGCCTGTAAATGGGCGTGTTTTCTTGATTTCTTTTTCAGTTAGTTGGTTATTGGTGTATAGAAATGCTGCTGATATTTGTATGTTGGTTTTCTATCTGGTGACTTTACTGAATTCCTTTATTAGTTCTAAGAGATTTTGGTGATGACTTCAGGTTTTTCTACATATAAGATCATGTTATCTGCAAACAGGGACAGTTTGACTTCCTCTTTTACGATTTGGATGCCCTTTATTTCTACCTCTTGCCTGAATGCTCTGGCTGGAACTTCCAGTACTCTGTAGGATAAGAGTGGGGATAGTGGGCATCCTTATCTTGTCCAGCTCTTGACACTTTTTAATAAATCTGGACTGCTTTTGTAGAATGTCCTGTATTCTGACTTTCTCTGATTGTTTTCACGTGATTATAACCAGGTGAAAAGCTTTTGGCACATGTTCTCCATGAGTAATGCTGTGTGCTGCTTCTCTCATCCCCTCATTGCCTCCTCAGGTCATCCATGGACACCTTGTGGATATGTGGAGTACATGAGGGGCACCTGGGAGGGGGCTCTGATGGCATTGATGGGTGGGGGCCACAGATGCTAAATGAGCAAGGAAGAATGGTCCCATCACAAATGCAAATAGCATTTGGGAATGTATGTTGGTAGAACAGTTACCTGGTGTTTTAAGAAGTTAATCCTGGTGACCACCGGGAGGGATTAGAAGATGGAGCAATATGTGAAATGTGTAAAGAAAGATACTAGAGATACAGGACTGAAAGGAAACCCACAGGTAGGGCAGCATGAGATCAATACTATAAGAAAGGGATTGGCTGTAGTGAGTCTAAGATGTGGAGAAGTTTTTTGGGAGTAACGGGAAAGTTGAGCCGTTTCCTGTTGATTTTTCTTAATTGGTATTAAACAGGAAACAAAGGCATCAGTTGAGAATGAGGCTTCTCAGAGAATCCATGGAATCTGGGGTCAGCTGCCAGTCAATAAATGGATTAGTGCTCAGTGTTTGAGGGTCAAAGAGAAGTCAGAAAATATCAAGACAGTTCACTTAGTTGTGTGATTTTCGCAGCTATGTTGGAAAAAGAAAGTAAATGCTTGACTTACCCATGGTTTGCATGTAGGCAAACATGGGTGGCATTAGAGTATATGAGCTAAAGAATCTAGGCTAGTGGAGTACTCACCCTCTGTTGTACACAAATCCCCTCATTGACTTAGGGATAGCTGGCGGTGTTTGTCGTTGGGGGTAACAAAAGAACAGAAAGCCACTCAAACTGGCCAAATGGAGGAAGTCATAGAAATCACAGGATCAATAAGTAGAATTGCTGCAGAACTTAGAACAAGAACTGTACTGGGGCTAGGCCTCATGCAGTAGGAGGAAGGGGTATCCTGGGGCCCGGCAGCACAGATGTGGGTTCTTACAGGCCTTTAGCCTAACTCAACTACAGCTCTGCAGGCATGTTTCTTCCTGTTCCATTTCTACCTGGACGATTCTTTTTGTTTTTTAGTTCATTTTCCTGCAAAGGAAAGAATTGGATTGACCCAGCTCATCTTTGTCTGACATTCCATAGACTTCTGGCCAGTTTATGTATTGGCTTCCTGGGGTCAAATGACTATCTACAATCTGATCACTTATCACCGTTATCAGGGCTGAGGGAGCATATGGTGCTATGGGCATGTTGTCTTTTGAAGGACTGTGGTTGGGCAGGCACCTTCCACCTTTCCTCTGCCATCTGCATGAAACTCTGCATGCACAGTTTTCATGGTGCATCCACCAGTGTATCCCAGCTCTTTTCCACACAACCAGAGAAGCCCTCTCTCCTCTCAGACTGGGACCACTCCTCTCAGCAGCAGTGCCACCTGCGAGTACACTCACCTTCCTACAGAGGGGCCCGCATGGGCTGCTGGAGGACCACCTGCTAGGCCCAGGGTCTGCAGTCTTCCTGCTGTGTCCATTCTTCTCTGACTCGGTTTGATAAGGGCTCTGGAGACAGATGCCTCTGTAACCACTGGGCATTGGAGCTGACCCAGTTACCTTGGCCACTGTGGTGGATTAGCACATGTGCCATCGCCCTTTGATGGTCGCGGACAGTCACTTAGTTCAACACTGCTGAGCAGCATATTTGCTTAATCTCTCAGTAGCACAAGGAATATGAAATGGCCAAAGGGCGAGCTCAGCTTCCTTTGCAAGAGCATAATTCCGGGTCACCTGTTACAAGTACCCGAGGAGAGCGGAGTCCAAAATCACAGGGATGGAAAACACTTGGGAGAAGTCTTTAGGGGTGGCTGAGTGGCACCGCCTTCACCTCTACCTTCTGGCTTTTGGACTTCTGAGTCTGTACTCTGGGAGAGCTGGTCCTGTTGGTTGGTGGCTGGCTAGCGTGTGGTCTCTGCCCTTGAGTCGGGGCCCACAGGTCTTCTTTAGTGTAACTTAGAATTTCACTGAGGCTGTACCACCTAACTCCAGTCAGGATGGCCAGCATCAATAACTCAAAAAACAACAGATGCTGGAGAGGACATGGGGAAAAGAGAATGCTTCTACACTGCTGGTGGGAGTATAAACTAGTACAACCTCTGTGGAAAACAGAATGGCGATTCCTAAAAGATCTAAAATCGACCTTCCATGTAACCTAGCAATCCCCTTTCTGGGAATATACCCAGAGGAATTCAGGTCACTCTATGAAAAAAATACCTGCACACATGTTTATTATAGCATTATTCACAATAGCAAAAACATGGAACCAACTATGCTACCCACCAAAAGTGGACTGGCTAAAAAAAAGTGATACATATACATGATGGAATATTATGCAGCCATAAAGAAGGACAAAGTTATGGACTTTGCAGCAACTTGGATGGATTTACAGTGTATAATACTCAGTGATCTATCACAGTAGCAAAGAACTGAGTACCACATGTTCTCACTCATAAGTGGACCCTGAACTTTTACCATAATACTGTAAAAAAGGGATTGGCAGTTGTGAGAAACTGCCAGGGGAGTGGGAGGGCACATAACATCCATAAAGGTACCTGATCTCAAACCAGGAAAAGTAGGGACCAAAGGGAGGTCTAAACTTTACCTGTACAATGACCACTTATGTACTTGATCCTGAATTGTACCCCACATCTTTAAAATTAAAAAAAAGGAAAAGAATTTCACTGAAGCTGTTGATGTTTTAGGAGTCAGTTACACTGGACCGAACTCATTTATTTTCCTTTTATAAATATTTGTAATATAATTTTGCTGAAAAAAGCATCCCAGAATAAGCTAATATAATTTATCTTTCAGTGTGATTATATTAATGTTCCAACTACAGTGTTTACTCCTCTGGAGTATGGTTGCTGTGGATTATCTGAAGAGAAAGCTATTGAGATATATAAAAAAGAGAATCTAGAGGTAAGATTGTGTTTTACTTCCTTTTTAAGAATTTATCTTTTAATCAAGTATTTGTCTTTTAGTCACTTTTTATTTTGTCATTTTGCAAGTTACTATAATGGTTGTATTGTATGAAATAATATTCCTATTTTAGGAGAATTAGGAATTAATTTAAACCCCATATTGCTAGCATACTAATAATAAGAAGAATATAGGTTGGGGAAAGAGGGAAGAATAATGTAAAGTTAGGACTTTTGCAGTATAGGTAACAAAAATTTACTTGAGCAAACTTATATAAGGAAACTCAAAGTTACTTTAAGACCTTTTGGGAATGTAGGGGTAGTAATGTATCAAGCCCTCAGGAAGGGACAAGAACTAGGAATTGGAAGACCATCTCAATTTTTTCCTTTTACTTTCTTTAATTTTGTTTGTTTGTGTGCACATGGTTCATTCTTGTTTCTGCAGAATTTATTTGCCCCCGGAATGCACATAACTGCCAAAATATGGCCTGTTATCTGCTCCTGAGTTGATCCAGTAGTTCTAGTCTTAATAGGAAGTGATTGGACTCACTGTTTCTTAGTCTCAAGAGTTACCTGAATGTGTGGGCTATTCAAATTTCCAGAAAGGTGTTCTCCACACACATTTATTTATAACCTCTCCTTCACCCCCAATGCCATTCGGTCATAACAACCGTAAAAACATTTTTCTACATCATATTTTGGTGGGTAGTTTGATTGTTTTTTTTCTGCCCAACCTTCCAACATAAGAGGGAAAGGGAGAAATAAAAAGTGTTGGAGAGTTGTGGTTGACATTTTAAGTAAAAGAGAATTGAAATCTCAGTCTTCTCCCTTGAAGGCATTTTAATTGTATGATTTGATTTATTATTGGGAATTTCTTTCAACCATAGCCCTGATATTCCCTAGTTCAGTAAGGCCTAAAGACTTATTGAAACTCTTTTTAAATTTCTGATACTGAGGAAATGTATGATTAAAACAGTGTAACATTATTTTGGATGGCTATTTTTTTTTTTTAAATTTACATTTTCAAGAACATTATTTCATTCATATTTATAATTAAGTCCTTGTAGTAATAAGCCATCCTTTTGGCAGTGGTGAAATTTTACTTGGGTCTTGTGAAATTGATGATACTAATTATGGATTTAACACTTAGTTTTAAAACTTTTTGAAAATATTATAGAAAGTTGAAAGGTTGCATGTGAAGAAGAATGTAGGAGGCCGTATGCCAGATAAAGGAGCATCTTTACAGGAAACAGTTTCCCCAAGTTTGGGATTATTTTAAGGTCTTTTTCCCAAGGTTCACTGCAGGTCAACTCAACTATTTTATTTATTCATTTATTTATTTTTTGTGCTTTGACAGGATTGAAAACTTGATCTATTAGTATTTTTTAAAATTCCTATAATAGATTTGAGGAAGCTTCTCAAAAATACATATATAATAGTTTTTAAAGTGAGAAAATCAAGGTGAAAAGAAAATAAGGTAGAAAAAATAAGATAGTGCTAGAAGAAAGGTTAATTTGCTAGTTCACAAAATTTGTGTCATAAAGTCCTGCTTTGAGATTAAGCTGAAAATGTAACTGAAGCTTCCTATTACCTGACTTGAGGAAGAACTGAGAGATATTTCTTCAGGTCTTATGAAAGGGACATTGTGATATGGTGAATAATATCCTTAAAATATCCCTTTAGTAAATATAACAATGGGTTTTATGTAACTGTTTATTGTTAGGCCTAAAAATAAAGTCTTATGGCATTATGCCAAAGTATAGTATAATTAAAAAAAAAGTAATTTCTGAATGAGCCAAAATAGGGCAGTGCTAACATATTGCCCTCTGGTGACCTGACTTAATACAAAATTTTAGAGCGTCTAGAAGTTGTAACCTGTTTAGTGTGGCTTCATTTGAGAATCTAATGAAATCTTTAGTTTTCAGGAGGGAAAACCATATCTACATATCTCTCTATCTCCCTATGTCTATCTCTATCTCTATCTCTATCCCCGAGAGTCATTTTCAATTCATCCCTATTTGTTCACCAAATAGTCAAGATAATAGTTTCACCTTCAGAATATATCTCATATGTATCTACTTATTTCATTTCTATCCTCACCAACCTATGCCAATTCACCATTATCTCTTCCTGTATTACTAAGAGCTTCCTGACCTCTCTGCTTTCATTCTAACCCACTCTAGTCATCACACATTAGTCAAGGAGATCCTTTAAAAATACAAATAATCATGCCATTTTCCTGCTTAAAACTCATTCACAGTTTCCTAGTGCCCATAGAATATGACCCACGCTCCTTCCTGTTTGCCATGAGAGGCAGAACATGATCAGGCTGTTCATGCTACTCTCCATCCTACTCATACTAGTTTACTGTTTGCTCCAGAAACTCACCAAGTTCTTTCTGTGCCACAGTCTCTCTGTGTTTAGTTTCCTTGGCTCAATACTGTGATATGTGAAAAACAAAGATATTCAACACATCTGAAACGTCAGGAAAGATGAAACCCAAAGGAGGCAGATAAAAAGAAATAATGGTTCTTCCCAAGAACACTGCCACTTGGGAGAGGAGAAAGAAAGAGATGCCAGGATTTCTCTTGAGTGAAAAAGTACAGGCATTCTTCCTAATGGGTACCTGTTGTATGGAAGGAAGGAACATTAGAATCATACCCATGTGCTTATTATTAAGGACAAATCAAGAACTAGGAACACTGTATCACTGAACTGACAAATGAGTTAGAATCACAAAAACATATTATTTAAAATAAGCTTAATTACAGAGGAATGGTTAAGATAATTTTTAATGTAGAACAAAAAAGAGAAGGAAGGTGATAAATATGGGCAGATAAATATGATACAGCATAAGTATAATTCATACCCTTTGATGGAAAAAAAATGGTATAGAAGTAGTATTTGGAAATGTGATAGAAGAAAGTGTCCCTAATATTTTTTTTAAAAAGGTGAATCTAAAGATTGAAATAAAAAACCCTATTCTGGGAGAAGTTGATATAGAGTAATTGCCATAAGCATGTCCCCATTAAGTTCTTGGCCCTTAGGAATCCAGGCAGAGAAAGCTAATTATCCACAGTAGACAGGGAATAAAGTTGGCCTTGGGCTTTCTTGTAGCAGCATTTGATGCCAAAGATGAATGATGTCTATAAACTTTGAGGAAAAAGTATATATTTTAAAAAATAAACTCTCAAGGATGGTGTCTTTGTTCATCCAGCCTTCTATAACAAAATAGTATTACTGGTTAGCTATAAACAGTAGTAATTTATTTCTTATAGTTCTGGAGGCTGGGAAGTCTAAAATTAAGGCAGATTTGGTACCTGGTAAAGGCCCTATTCCCGGTTCATAGATAGAATATCTTCCCTCTGTGTCCTTTTATGGTGGAAGGGACAAGGCAGCTCTTTGGAACCTCTTTTATAAGGACACTAATGGCATTCATGAGGGTTGGCCCACATGACCTGATCATTTCCCAACAACCCCACCTCTAAAAAACCATGGCCTAATCCAAGGTCATGAAGGTTTATGCCTATTTTCTTCTAAGAGTTTTAAAAATACAGTCATATATCACTTAACATGCATCACTTAGCGCTCTGAGAAATGTGTTGTTAAATGATTTTGTCATTGTGTGCCCTTCACAGAATGTACTTATATAACTTAGAAAGTAGCGCCTACTATACACCTAGACTACAAACCTGTACAGCATGTTGCTGTACTGAATACTATAGATAGTTGTAACATAGTGGTACATATTTAGGTACATAAACATATCTAAACATAGAAAGGATATGGTAAAAACACTGTGTAAAAGATTAAAAAAACGGTGCACTTGTATAGGGCACTTACCATGAATGGAGCTTGCAGCACTGAAAGTTACCCTGGGTGAGTCAGTGAGTGAGGTGGTGAGTGAATGTGAAGGCCTAGGATGTTGCTGTTATACTACTGTAGACTTTAAACACTGGAAACTTAGGAAACAATAAATTGATTTAAAATGTTTTTCTTTCTTCAATAATATGATGGCTACATTACTAGGTGACAGGAATTTTCAGCTCCATTATGATCTTATGGGACCATCATCATGTATGTGGTCCATCATAGACTGAAACATTGTTATATGGTACATAACTATAGTTTTAGCTGTTGTGTTTAGGTCTATGATCCATTTTGTGCTAATAAGTTTATATATGGTGTGAGGTAAGGGTGCAGCTTCATTCTTTGCACATGGCTTTTCAGTTGCCTGTAAATAGCATTTACAAAGTAAAGGAAACACTAGTAATTATTTAGCTAAGGGTATAACTATATTGGTTGGGCAGGAGAGGTGCTGAGTATATGGTAGAGGCCAGGGAAGAAAGAAAACCAAATCTTCCTTTTTCATAGAGCCAAGCCAGTAAATAAAGCAGTAGCAGTATCAGCATGTTTTTAAGGAACATTGAGGTAAATACCAAAATAATTGAATAAAAGAGATGACTTCTGGGTTCATTGGAATGGGTGGGGACAGAGATCTGTTTTTTATAACAGAGCTTTGAAAATTATGTCTATAATTATTGTGCTTAACTTGATAAAGACTTTAAAAAAACACAAGCAATAATAGGAGGACTCTGAATGAGGAGAGTAATGAGGGGTGACCAGCCCTAATTAAACATTAAAATGTATTGCAAAGCTGTAGTACTTAGAATCATGCAGCAGTGGCATACAAATGGACAGCAAAATCAGTGGAACAGAACATGAAATCCAGAAATAGATTCACATGCCTGTACAAATTAACATGTGACACAGGTAATATTTTAAATCAGTGGGAAAAGACAGATCATTCACTAAAGGGTGTTGGAATAAGTGGGTAACCATTAAGGAAAAAAGTAAAGTGGGATCCACACTTCACACTCACTTTGAACCAGGAGGCTCTTCAAAATACTAGCAGGGGAAAACCACGTTTGACAAAGCCAGGGAAAGAGGAAAGGAAGATGAGAGGAAGTAGGTTATTCACTTCCTTACTCTTTGCAGCAGGGAGTAATGAACTTGTCCGAAGTACATGCTGATCTTAAAATCATTTTAAAATGTCATTGTTTTCACCATCTCTTTTCTTAACCTTAGAGATTTATTTTTTAGGAAATTATATCTTGAGATAAAGAAACGTTTATTTTCTATTTCTAATAACCACAGAGATGAAAAGGTTTGTATTAAAATGGATGGAAGAGTTTCTCTCTTCTGTTAAGTACAAGTTAAATCTATTTTTTGTTACAAGTAGCTGAATACTGTGATACCTTTTGAATAAAAATTTTGTTTTTACTACATATACACCAACAATTGATGCCCTAACATTTAAAATGGTTATTCCTGGGTGGGATTTTAAAAAACAAATTCATTCATTGTATATTTTAGTTCAGAATACATTTCTTATTCTGCCAACAAATATTAATACATCACATTCTGTATGGAGTTATTCAGAGGAATATCCATCCCAGGCTACATGAGGGCACGTTGTGTTTTGTTCTCATTCTTGGAAGACTGAACCAGATTGAAGAGGCTTGGAGGTATACTTGGGCACTGGTGTGAGGACTTGAGGACAGAAATGTGAAGGACATGGTCCCTGTTCTCAAGTAGCTTATGTTCTGAAAGTTTCAGTGACAGCAACAATTAGTTTTCCCAGATTTTGCTTGAATATGAACATTGCAGTCAGGTTGTGTACTCATTGAAGGCAGAGTATAGGTCTTTACTTTTACAGTCCATAGAAGGGCCTAGTGCATTGCCTTGGATTGGTAGTACTTTATCAGTGTTTGAAAATTAAATTTTGTCCGTTGATTTTTTTTTTTTTTTTTGAGTTGGAGTCTCACTCTGTTGCCCAGACTAGAGTGCAGTGGCCACTCCCGGCCACCTCAGCCTCGACCTACTGAGCTCCAGCGATCCTTCCACCTCAGCCTTCCAAGTAGCCGGAACTACAGGCGCATGCTACCACACCTGGCTAATTTTTTAAAATTTATTTATTGTAGAGATGAGGTCTCGTCAAGTTGCCCAGGCGGGTCTTGAACCTGCAGGCTCAGGCAATCCACTCACCTCAGCCTCCCAAAGCGCGGGATTACAGGCTGGGCCACCGAGCCCGGCTCCTTGTTTTTTTTTTTTAACTAACAGCTGAGTAAGCAAAGCAAAGGTGAACACACTTGTGGAGCTGACATTTCAGGAGCCCTGGCACAGATGCTCCCATCAGTTATGTAATGCCGGGATCATTAAACTTTAAATTTCTGAAAGCTATTATAGACATTATTGCCTTATAGAACTAAAGAACCTATCAAGGAGTGGTTTCCACATACATTAATATTGGCCTTTTTTTCTCTATTCTCATCTTCAGGTGTATCATACTTTGTTCTGGCCTCTTGAATGGACAATAGCTGGCAGAGACAACAATACTTGTTATGCAAAGATAATCTGCAATAAATCTGACCATGTATGTATTGTCACTGTAAGCTGAAATGCCGTAATTTAAAAAATATAGCTAGTTTTTATTCCTACTATTTGGATTTTTCTTTTCTTTTTGGGAGGTGGGGTGGGGATAGGAATCTTTCTATAATGCCCAGGTGTGCCTTGTATTAGGGTATTAGGGCTCAAATAGTCCTCCCACCTCTGTCTCCTGAGTCGCTAGGATCACAGTATACATGCCACTGTGTCCAGCTGGATTTTTATAATCTTTTTAAAGATAGCTTTCAGGGCAAGACAGAACTCTTGCATATTGCTACCCAGTTAATGTGTTTGCAGAAGTTGAACAGTGACAGTTTGTGATGGAGGTTTACCAATATTCTCTCAAAATACATTATTGAAAGTTATTTCTTCCAGAGCAGTCTTGATAGCTTGATTGTTTAAACTCGATAGTTTAGAACTAGATGATCTGTCAACTAATACGTTATAAGGCATATGTTGGTGTGCATTTTGTAAACAGACTGAATGTGTGTCAAAGCTGTTGGAAGGAGGCGCTCACACAGTGCCTCTCTACTTCTGGAGCTAATTTCTGGTGAAGTTTTCTCTGAAGCAGCAGCAGTGAGGCAGACGGCCCATGGTCAGAGGCTCTGCTCCTTCCTGCTATTAGAGTGTGGGATCCAGATGCTGCAGGGTCCCTCAGATTAATAGTTTAAAGCACAGCTTACTTAGAACTTGCTTCATAAAGAAAACTGTTAGAAGCCAGGCTCGGTGGCTCAGCCTGTAATCCCGCGCCTTTGGGATGCTGAGGTGAGTGGATTGCCTGAGCCCGCGGGTTCGAGACCCGCCTCGGCAGATGGGACCTCATCTTTACAATAAATAAAAAAATCAGCTGGGTGTGGTAGCACATGCCTGTAATTCCGGCTACTCGGAAGACTGAGGTGGAAGGATCGCCGGAGCCCAGCAGGTCGAGGCTGTGGTGGCCAGGAGCAGCCACTGCACTCCAGTCTGGGCGACTGAGTGAGACTCCAACTCAAAAAAAAAGAAAAAAAGAAAAGAAAACCGTTAGAGAAAGCATTGTTAATAGTTGGTTCTTCTCATTTTATAAGTTTATCAACCATCTGGGGAGATGAAACATAAAAATAGATAAATATGAACAGCACCAACTGGCAGTTACATAAAGTTTACCAAACACCACAGTCATTATATTGTTTAACTCACATCTCTGTATTTATCTTACCTTCAGCATGTCAGAACACGGTGTCATAGGCTGGCCGCACGTGAGCATAGGCTCCTTTGCTGAATGGTAAAGCTACCTAGAGCTCTAGGACTCAGTCCCTTGGTAGACGCACACGTCTCACACGTCTGCAGGGCATGCAGGATATTGGCTGTGATGGCCCTGAAGTGCTGAGTTGTGACAGGTTCGCAACTGTGCTCTTGAGGTCTGGTGTTTGTGTGTTGGACTACATCCTGATTCTTTGGGAGAAGGTTAAGTGACATCAGTGTCATGGCTATCGTGGGCAACCTTTCTGTCCTATGCACTGCTGCCTCCAAAAGTGGGGGGGGAGGGGTCTGGGGAGCAGCTGCAGAAGCAGGCCTTGCAGCCATCGCACTGGCTCTGACCTTCTCACCTCTGTACTGCCAGCCCCTAGGCGGCTTGCTGGGCTCTGTCCCATTCACCCCCCCTCACCCTTGGCTCCACCCAGGACCAGGTCGTGCTGTCACTCTTGCATGCCAACTAGCCTGGAGCTTGCCCTTCCCTGACCCTGGCCAAATGTCTATTTCTTGAGCATCGCCCTAGTACTTGGGAAATAGAAGAGTTTTATTCCAACTCTGTGTAAAAGTTGTGGGTGAAAGTTCCCTCACCAGGACCTTCCTTTTCAGTGGCCACTGGGGATGTTCCCCAGATGGCCTTACCTTTGTTTGGGCTGCCCTTCCCCACTTTTCCAATTTGCTGTGCAATGTGCCACCTCAGATTCCTGTGCAGTCGCTGTCCATGGGGTGCTGGGAGCTGCCCTTGAACCCCCAGCCCAAGTGGCTTCTGCCTGCTCCACCCGAGAGGCCCTGCTCTTGGAGCTCCCTGTTTGAGTGCTCCCCAGCAGATGTGGATGAGGTTGGCTGCTCTGAACCATGGCTTTCTCCAGAATCTGAGTGGGCAAAGCTTTCTCCCTGCCCTGGCCTCTGCTGCCCTTTTATAATCCTATAGTCTTTCTCATCATCAGTTGTACACTTTCACTAGTGAAGACTGAAAGGAAAGATAGAGTCTGATGAAAACACACTGACAAATCAGCAGTCTAAAATGCACTGTTGCCTTGGAAACTGATTGCAGATCTTCCTTCAGGTCTGCTTATCACCTGTACCCCCTACTTCCAAGCATCAGCCCTGGGTGACAGCCCCATACCGGCCTCTTCTTGCTCTCTGCTTAGTATTAGGAACAGGGCACCTTGCCTTCCGAGCCAGCAATCTCTGCATTTCCAGTAAAAACCTGCTGCCTTTGAATTATTCCAGTGTTGGACCTTAATTCAGATTTGTTATGTTGTTGTTTAGCACTATCTCAGCATAATTTGGAAATTTATATCATACTAATGAACTCCTTCATGCAGTGGGTAAATTGCTTGTTCTAGTAAATTTGAGTGCAAATTAACTCTGGATGTGCATTTACTGGCTCATTTAACAGATTCTTACAGTGGCTCAGTTTCATGATAATGTTTCTGTTCAGTTCGACATTATGGTTCTTTTTCTGTAGTAGATGCTGTAAATTTTAACTGTGAACTTGAAGTGAATAGTTTCCTATTCAGACTGTTAACCTACTGGGATTCTCTCTGTTTTGTTCCTGTATTAAAGGATCGGGTGATAGGATTTCATATTCTTGGCCCGAATGCTGGTGAGATTACCCAAGGATTTGCAGCTGCCATGAAATGTGGGCTCACAAAACAGCTACTCAATGACACCATCGGCATTCACCCCACATGTGGGGAGGTAGGAAACAGGAGGTTTTTAAAATTGACTTCGACTGATATAGTCTGAAAAACTAATATAAAGCTGTTTTGTATGTGGTATAGAATATGGTACATGTAATTTTCAGAATGTGTTTTCTTGAAGCAATAGTGTGTGCTATATATTTATTTATTGCTTTTGAACAGGTGTTTACAACTTTGGAGACCACGAAGTCATCGGGACTGGACATCACTCAGAAAGGCTGCTGAGGCTAGTCCTGCTGCTGTTCAGTGTTCCTTGTCATATTCTCATTTCTTTCTAAGACAAGAATGCTCTGGGATAAAACCAGCCTGTGTTCATGACACCTGCTCTGTTACTCAGGGACCAGTGCAGGGCTTCCTTCACGGCCCCGAGATGAGAACATAGACAAGGAGACAGGGTAGCAGCAGGCATCTGCTCGTGGCTTGAGAGGCAGTTGGACTGCTTCCTTGACGCCTCGGCTCGGAACCCCACGGTGAGGTGGGCCAAGGCTGACTCTTGCAAGTCAGGATCGAGCTTCCCTCTCAATGACTTGAATGGCACAGTTAACCTAAGCTAACTTTTCTGGTTGCTGGTGTTTTGATTCCCTTGCCTTATTGTTTCTATGAAAATAAATTTTTGGTTATGAAACTGTCCATAAAGTGGTGATTTTCCATCATGTGGGCTCGCTGGTGAAGGTATCTGTGGAGCTACACTGGTAGCTGACTGCAGAGGACAGGACACAGTAGTAGGGAGTATACACACTGGGTGCACTTTAGTCATTGCTCTCTCCTTTGAGGCTCATTTTAACCTGCTGTTGAAATCCTGATATGCACTTCACCCTCTCAGGCGTTTCCTGATGGTAATAACCTTGAAATCATTTGCCTCTTATTAGTATCTGTAGACTGAGCAAAATAGCTCATGTAAGAGAAAAATACTTGCATTTCTTTTTCATGTTGATCTTAAGAGTAATAGTTTTTAGAACTGTATTATGCAAAATCTAATTAATTTAAAACTCTTTCAAATTATTCTATTACAGTCTATTTAATTTTGGTCAAGCTTAGTACACGAACAGGTGATGTTCAGCTGTTTCTTTAGAATTTACAAACATGGCAGCATCTGAAAGATCTTGAGGAGGGAGGCTTATCCAAGGTCCTTCAGGAAACCTCTGATTTCTTTAGTACACCGCACAGCAGCCCCATGCAAGGCCTTTAGGCTGCTTGCTCACTTGAGCTGCACTAACTTTTTATCCCAGGGTTGGATAAATCTATGGTCAGAATTTTTAGGCATAAGCCTTAAAAGAAAAAAAAATCTAAACCAACAAACAGTAAGTGAACACCATCTGTAGATAGGCATTTTGCTACCTTTTCTGGAGGTAGGGGCAGGGGAGGGGTGGGGATGGAAACCCAAAGGAAACTGTCATAGGATCTGACTTTTGAGTGGCTTTTTTATTTGAGAGAGAAAAATACAAATGTGACTGTCTAAAAAGTAAAGCAGAGCATAGTAATGACTGTATCCGATACAGAAATAGTGTAGCTGGAAACAGGGAAATGCAGAGTTTAACAAAAGTAGTCATATTGGGGCTGAAGTGAGAGGGATGAATAGTATTTCAAAGAGTAGAAGTAATATGGAGAGGGTTTGAATAATGCTTTCCGTAGAGTCAATTAAAATACTGGGTAAAACATACTTTTAAATTTTAAAAAATTTTGAGTGCCCCTCCCCATCCGACACTAAACCAAAATTTTCTAGAATCCTAAATGAAACAAAACCAGAAACTCTGGATGCCTTCAACTCCTGCTTTGTACTGAGCATAGGGCAGAAAAACTAAGTCCCAGGTTTGCCCCAAGTGGAGTCTCTAATAGGAAAATTGTGTGTAAAGCTGAGACCTCAATGAACTATACTCCCAGTGAAAGGGTGAGTGTAAAACAAACTGTCTCACAGAAAGAGGCAGCAGAGAAATATGCCTGTCTTCTCACTGGCATTGATGGAAATAAATAATCCACCCCAGGCATTTGTAATCACCGACCAGGTCACAGGCTACTGGGAAGTCTAGCTGTCTTTGTTTTGCAATAGGGGAGGAGGTTCACATATAAACCTGTCTGTACTGGTTCCCTGTCACCTTTGCATTTTTCTCTCTGTTTTTTTCTCTGCTTCATCTCTTCTCTTCTCCTGGGGTAAATCTGGCTGTATATAGTGGCGAGAGATTAATTTTACCTGGAAGAAAAAACTTGCATGCATCTATTATCATGCAGATCTGCAAGGAAAAATATCCTCCATGATAGTGGAGGTCTTAACATACCTCAACAATTTATTAGATCAGACACACACAAAAATTAATAAAGATACAGATTTGAACAGCAGAATTAACAAGTTCAACTTAAGGAACTTAGGAAGACTGCACCCAACATGAAAACATACTCATTTGAAGCACACATGGAATATTTAAGGAATTTGACTATGTGCTAGGCCATAAAAACCAGACTTAACAAATTTCTAAAGACTAGTGTTATATAGGGATGGGACAAGAAGGTTTCAGCTGTCGGGCTAACACCAGGACCTCAAAGATTTTAAAATCTGTATAGTATGGTGGAAAATAGAGTACGGAGTAAAGGGAGGTAGGTGAGGGGTTAGTGGGAAAACAAGCCGGAAAGTTGGTAGTAGAACCAGGAGCCACTTTATAAAAAGCAGGGAACTATGGAAATATCCTAGGTCTTGAAGCATGATAGACTTAGAATGCCTGGCCCCATTGCTTAGCAAATATGTGAGAATAAGAATAAATTGCTTAATGTTTCCTATTCTTCATTTATTTTTTTGAGTCAGGGTCTCGCTGTATTGCCCACTTTGGTCTTGAACTTTTGGGCTCAAGTGATCTTCCCATTTCAGCCTCCTGAGTCACTGGGACTACAGATGCACACCACCTTGCCCAGGTTAGACCATTTTTAAGTCCTAGGGGAGACCCCCCCAATCAACCAGGAGTATCTTGTGGGGGATAATACCCCATGTAGTACAGGCTTTTCCCCTGCTAGGTGAGTGTTCTAGGAACCCATCAGCATCAGTGTACCTGCTAGCATTGTGTGAGAGGTTGTGTTCAGCTTCAGTAAAATTTTTTTGGAGATTCTTTCACCATGTTTACCCATTTCATGTTGGGTGATTTATGAGCTCAGCTGCCCACATCACACTGAGTGTTCAGAGTTGTTGACCAAAAATGGCATAATCCCGTGTCCCACCTTCCCCATTCATCTAATCTCACCCTGAATGACTTTTTTTGTTTCCCTGGATGAAAAAAAAATCCTCAAAAGGAAACGTTTTGCTGATGTGGAAGAGGTGAAACAAAAAATGACAGAAACACTAAAAGACATTGAAATTGATGAGTTCAAAAACTGAGTTGTGGAAAAAGCATCTTAATAGGTGTGTTGCATCAAATGGAGAGTACTTTGAAGGTGATTGGAGTTTAAATATGTAAGAATAAATATGCAATTTTTTATAAATAAATTCTGGTGTTTTTGGGTCCCCCTCATATTCAGTTCAGTGGTTTTAAGTAACCATCACTACTGTTCATTTCCAGAACATTTTTAGTCATTCCAAATGAAAATGCTACCCCCTTAGTAACTCCTCCTGCCTCTTCCTCCCAGCCACTGGTAACACCATTATATTTTATGTCTATGAATTTGCCTATTCCATATGAATGGAATTATATTTGTCCTTTTGTGTCTGGTTTATTTCACTCAGTGTTATGTTGTAGCATTTCCATAATTTCAATCCTTTTAAAGACTGGGTAATATCCCATTGTTTGGATATACTGTATTTTATTTATCCATTCATCTGTTTATGACACTTAGATTGTTTTTGCTTTTTTGGTTTTTGTGAATAATGCTGCTATGAACATTGATGTATGAGTATCTGTTTGAATCCTTGGTTTCAGATCTTTGGGGGTATGTTCCTAGGAGTGGAATTGCTGGATCATATGGTAATTCTATGATTAATCCTTTGAGGAACTGACAGATTGTTTTCCACAGTGACTGCATCATTTTACATTTTCCCCAGCAGTACACAAGGCTTATAATTTCTCCACACCCTTATCAACATGCTATTTTCATATCCTAATTGGTATGAATTGGTATCTTATGGGTTTTTTTATTTGCATTTCCCTAAATAAAGTCTAATGAAAACATTAGACAAATTGTAGTTAAAGTCACATTCTACAAAATACCCCTGAAAGCTGTCAAGGTCATCAAAAACAAGTAAAGTCTGAGAAACTCTCGTAGTCAAGAGAAGGCTAAAAAGACATGGCAAGCAAAGGGAATGCAGTATCCTGGAAGAGATCCTGGAACAGAAAACAACATTAATGAAAGACTAAGGTAAACTGAATAAACTATTGACTTTAGTTAATAGTACTGTATCGGTATTGATTCCATCAATTGTAACATGTGTACCATACCAATAAGAGAAACTGGGTGAATTGGGGGTGTGCAGGAACTCTGTACTGTCTGTGTAATTTTTTTTTTTTTTGTAAATCTCAACTATCCTCAGCCAGGCCTGGTGGCTCATGCCTGTAATTCCAGCACTTTGGGAGACCTAGGTGAAAGAATTGCTTAAGCCAAGGACTTCAAGACCAGCCTGGGCAACATAGCAAGACCTTGTCTCTACAAAAAAATAAATAAATTAGCCACGTGTGGTGGCTGTGGTGAGCCATGATTGTGCCTCTGCATTCCAACCTGGGGGACAGAGTGAGACCCTGACTCAAATAAGTAAATAAATAAACTAACATACTGTCCTAAAATACTGGTTATATTTTGTAAATGAAAAAGATCTACATATATTAGCAAGCCAGTAGCAAAATATTTTAAACAATTGTATCCCAACAGTAGGCCTCCTAAAGTGCTGGGATTACAGGCATGAGCCATCAGGCCTGCCTGAGGCCAATTTAGATTTACAAAAAAAAAAAAAATTAGAAAACTTGGAGAAAAGGAATAAGCACCTGGAAAGACACAAACTAACTCAAGAAGAAATGAAAAATCTGAATATTACTATATTCATTAAATAAATGAAATATATCATTAAAACTTTTCCACAGTGAAAAATTCAAGACCAAATTTTTTCAAACATTTAAGAAAAAAGCCAGTTCTACAAAAACTTTTCAGAAAATAGGAGTAGAGAACATTTTTCAACTCGAGTTTATCATAACCCTGGTATCCAAAAAACTGACAAAGGTTTTGAAAGAAGATAACTGTAGACCAATATCACTCATGAAAGTCAACCAAACATTCCCAACAAAATACTGTCAAGTTGAATCCAGCAATATATAAAATGGGTTATGACAAAGTTTATCCCTGGCATGCATTGGTTGATCCAATATGGGGGATAAAAGGGAAAAAGCAATTTAGTCATCTTAATAAATGAAGAAGTTGAATTTAATATGCATTTGTGATATAAATCCTCAACTGACTAGGAATACAAGGAAACTTCTTCAAGCTAATAAAAGCCGTATACAAAAAAACTTACAGCTTAATGGTATAAGATAATTGAGAACAGGCAAGGATGTCATCTTCCACCATTTACATTTACCAGTGTAGTGAAGGTCCTAGCCAGTGCAATGATGCAGGAAACATAAATAAGAAGCATGCAAATTAGAAAGGGAGACCTAAATGTCTTTGTTTG